TACTTATTTAGATATATATTTGACCACAAAATATTTAATGATGATGCTACACAAGCACATACACAAAAACACACAACTGCATCATATCAATTTGTCCATCTCATTGCCTTCTGACATGTCATGATCAATGTCAAATATATACATTTAAAAAAAAAATCTGTGGGTAGCTGTGAGATCCAAAAAAGTAATATGTTGCCTGATGGCAACGCTATGCAGTAGAGGGTTAAGATGAACTAAGTGCACATTTGCTTATATTGTAGTTTAATTAGGGATTGGCAATGACACAATAACGATATAATTATCGTAATATAATTTTCCTCAATAACAATATAACATATTTTCAATAAAGGTTTAAGAAATGTTTGATTTAATTCATTTGAACACTCATTGTTTACATTAAGATTTTTTGGGGGAAAGACACTGTTTGGCATCATGTGTTTGTTCTGACCATAAGGAAAAGTTTAAAACCACAATTAACCATCTGATTTCTTCAACTTTCATTCAAGAGCATTAAGCCTTTAAACGTGAAAGAAATTTGACTTGATATTTTTTGTGATAATTATCAATATTGGATGATGTGAAATTTCCTATTGTGCTAACATTTTTGGATATATCGCCCAGCCCTACTTATAATCATAGGTGTCATTTACACTGAGGAGGCGTTTTTGGAAGCATTTGTTAAAAACTGTTAACAAACTGGATAACAGCTTGTACCAAGAAATGTTAAATAACAAATGAAAATGCTTTGAGAAAGGTTTATGTGCACGATGAGAAAACATGCAATTTAAATATAGAATAAACAAATGTGTATTGTCGGGAAAAAAAGCAACTTGGCAACGTATAGACAAGCTACTGACCACTGCATTATATTCTGTTATATTTTTATATATTTTGCATTGTCACCTGCAACCTGAATATTCCACCATAAACTGACGCAGAAAACGTCTCCAGAATAAGGAGATTGTTTAATGCTCAAAATTTTCTCATATATATCAGCATTTAACTTCAATATAGTGTTAAAATATCTTCTCATCTGGTTCTCATAAACCAGATATGGTACCAAGTATGCAAACATAATTATGGAAATGTACTCTGCTCCTGTGACTGATACACGTGCACACGATTAAAATACTTTCATTTATTTAAATAAAAATTATTTATATGTAATGGAACACTAGAATATAAACAGAAAAACTATTTTTATTCACTCTGATCAGCAGTGCACTCCAGGCACACATTATTAGGAACAATCCCTGTGCAACAGTGAATTTAATGACTAATACTGAATTTTTTAATTTAGTAGCTGTACATATTGTATATACACTGTATCTCATATCCACCTACCTTATGCTCACAAAATCTGATTGTCCTCAACTGTGCACTAATATCTATCTTTGCAAGTCATGTCCGTTTCTGATTTATCTATCGCATGTGGCGTTCATCTAGTCTTAACAGTAACCAAGTTCTACTCACTGACGATGGCCGTGGGATGCAGTCAAAAGCTACAGAAAAGGCCAGTAAATGAACCTTGACTTTAAAGTATTCAACTGTAGACTGAGACAAAAATTCAACAGTTCACCTTTATTATTTTAACAAAATGTGAATTATTTACAATTGTAATAACATAGAAATGAGAAAAAAAACAGAAATGAAAGAGGCAACTTAATTTCTTCTCTCGGGGATGATGACAAGGACTTGACACAATCTACAGCAACAAAACTACGAAGACTCATTCGACGTATTTACCAAGGATATCTCCATCACGGAACAGGAAGTATTCCTACAGCATAGAATAAGAAAACAAGGAATTAACCAATGAAGGCACAAAAGGATACAACTGATTCAGAAAGTAAACTGTACCGCACCTTGTCCTCCAGACTGACTTTAGTTCCACCGTATTCTGGTAGGAGTACTTTCTCTCCAACCTTCACACTGACTGGCTGCAAGTTCCCCTTCTAGAAAAGAAAAAGTCAAAACGTTAGTCGTCTGTAAAACCCCACATTCCTTATAGCAGCTTTGTATCTCTAATGTTTCCCCCAGAAAATGTGCTCTGGTACAAGGCAGAGAATAGGTCATCACCTGATTTACAGAGCCAGGTCCTACTGCCACGACGGTGGCCTGCAGCACTTTGCCTTGAGACTTCTCCGGCAGCATGATGCCCCCCTTCGTTACCGTCTCTGCAGTGAAGCGCTCCACCAGCACCCGGTCGAACAAGGGGAGGAATTTTCTGAAGGCCTGCAAGTGAATACAAAGAGAGGAAATAATATAAATTACTATCAAATGACATTTGACTTTTGTTACACCAGCGAATGTAGCCTTGATTAGAGAGAACCCAATAATACCACAAGGGGGCCGTCTTGAGTCAGAGCTTGTGTTACCCAAAATCCAAAAGCAGTGAGCTGCTGCTATATAATTTAACAACTCCTCAACTACACTTCAAAATGCACAAGCTCCGGGTTTAGTTAAACCAACTAAAAAACAGGAATGATTCATTAGGGGGTGGGGCAGCTTTTCCACAGAAGCTGCCTTTGTGAAGTCAATTATTGCAAAAGCTCAGCGTAATGGAAGTCAGCATTTCTTCATTATAGCAGCAAATATTTCCAGCAACGTCTAAAGTCACAAGCAGCAGATGAATGTGTAGGACTGCAGCTTTATAAAGATTTAACACACCAGCTGCCAACAGACTGGTACCAGCAGATGTACGAGTAACCTTGGGCTGAAGGTTGTTTGGCAAAGAGGTGGTGGGAGTTAAAAGGGGGGGGGGGGGGTGGAGACAAAGGACAGGTCCCAGCTTGTTGACTGATCAGATTCAGTAGATGGCTAAACAAGGAGGTAGAGTTACTTATTTACTGTGAGTGGTTTAAGCAGAGGCAGCAAAGGACAAGGACTGCTGGTGAAATACTTTGACGATAACTTCAGAGGCAAATTAGAATTTTAGGGAGTCAGTTCAAGTTGCAAAAATCCAGTTACAAACACTAAGCATTGATAACAGCCTTGAGGCCTTGAGCCACAATGTCCTCCAGGTTTTTAACACTACAAGATAACATACAAGGCCAATTTGGCCAGTTTTCCAGAAGGTTCTCCCTGCAGGACTTTATGGAGGCGGTACAAGTTGCATAAGATGATTATTAACCTCACATTTTCTAACTGTCAGCTGCATGAACTGTTCTCATCCTGCAGATTTTAAGATATGCCAAAAATGTTTTCACGATAAAAAATGTAATGTCATTCAATATCAATAATTATATGGATTAATGTCAAATAATTACTTCTTTCAAGTTTAAAGACTGATTTTTGCTCCTGAGTGAAAGTTGAAGAAACCACTTTAAAACTATGGTCAGAACAAACACTTGATGCCAAACAGTGGATTACTTCACAAATTTGAGGGAGAGCATTCAAAATAAAATCTTTTTTCAACAAATATGCATGGGTGAAATAATTTTAAAAAATTTCTGTACCTTTTTATCTTCAACAAAATCAATACCTTAATAGAAAAATGAAGTGCTTATTCATTCATGATTCGAATGCATTAAATCTAACATTTATTGAACATTTATTATATTGTTAGAGGAAAATTATATCGCGATAATTATTAATGTTTTGTTGCCCAGCCCTATTTATTCCCGCTATACTTCTACTCTAGTGAAATCACGCATTATTATGCATTTATCATCTACAGTTTGTAAAGAATATTAACAGAGTTACAGCACAATAAGTTGCTATAATAAATAAATATTTCTGCTGCGCTGATCTTAAGAATGCTACGCACGGTTACGTCATGAGGTCAGAGTTTACGTATCGGAAGCCGGAAGTAGTTTAAACGCGCATGTAATTCACATTTTCCATTGACCAAGGGCATGCATACTGCAATAAGACTTTTTAATCTGACTAACAAGGCAACAATGAGGCAGTTTTAATTTAAAAAAAAAACACAACAGCACCAAACTAGTCTGGATACTGGTCGTGTCTGATGCAATGACACACTTTATTCATCCACATGTAGCTGCAGCAGGGATGATGTCAGAATCAGCCAACTATAACGTTAACTATAATATTAATTTCACTGCACATCTGTTGGGTCCCAGATGTCCCGTTTCATGATAGAAAACCCAACTCGTACTCGGTCAGAGTGCAGGAAAAAGTGTCAGCTAACAGTGAGCTTGTTGTTGCACATGCAAGTTTAACATTACTACATATACACAACTCCTCTACTGTTAAAGGTTTCTCCAGTTACGGTATATTACAAGATAAATATGCACAAGGTTTAGCATATGCTCCCTTCACACTCGGCGTGACCTTGTGAGTCGATGTTTAATGTAACGTTAGCTAACGTTAACGATAACTTAGCAGCCACGTGAAGAAGCCTGATCAATTATCCGCTAGCGGTCTAGAAAACATTTTCATTGTATATACCAACAGTTTCTTACCATGTCTGGAAGGGAGCGGTCTGAGAGAATCGACGTGAAGTTGCACCCCGGTTTCTTCGTGACACACTAAAGAGGGGACTCTCTCCACGTGAGGAAATATCCAGAATGAGTGTGCGCATGCGTACTACCTGTTCTGAACTTGACTGCCTAACAGAAACTTCTAGTACACCTAAAGCGAAGCAAAGAGCAAAAACACGTCTTTACAACTTACACAGTTTGTTAAATGTGACAGATTTATACATATAAACTGTATTTTGGGGGTAATTTCTCTCTTTTTTCCACGTAATATAAGTCGGTGCAATGTTGCACAATGTCAACTTTGACCTTTGTTTTTTTCCTCCAATGGCTCACGAGAAAATTCTAGAAACGTCCGCCCGGGAACGAGCACTGACATGTGTTCTGAATTATAAAATTATTAAACAACTATGTGTACAAATATATTACAACGCCATGTTATAGATAAATGTGAGCCTATATAGCAAATGTGCTTATTCGATCAAAGATTTTAATAAAAGCCCGCTAGTTAAAATAGTTTGTCGTTATTCATAGTCCGGGGCGTGCCGGTATATTACCCGGATGTGATAGGCCATGTGCAGTCCTGTCTCTCAGTTACACCACACTGCTGTCCTCTCGGTCAGTCATTAATCGATCATTCCGTCTTGCAGACCTTGTAGCAGCTACTTTACCTTACAAGTAAGTGCTGACATTTAAATATATTAGTCTTTTAAAGCTATTTGGCTGATATTACAGGATATTTATTGTAGCTCATGGGAGGTAACACTTTTTAGAAATGCTAACTTAGCTTAAATTTACTCCCTAGCTCAAAGATTTTTCTTCGAATCTGCAAGGACATGCGGGCTAAAATGCCAGTGCAGAGTTTTACTAGCTGGGGAATAATTTCTGTAAGATAGCTATTAAATCTTGGGTTAGGGTTTAATTTAGTCAGGAACGTCTCGTGTCGGGCTGATGAAATCCTCCCTAAATGAAGTCAAACTCTACATGCGTGCTACTGCTACCTGATTAGCAATGCAAGAAGACTCATTGATGGGAATTAATTGTCAGTTACACGTGTGTTTCATCAGAGCTTTGCGGATAGTGTGATGGTCACTCATTAGGGATGGTGGAGGCAGTTCCGCACATGCTTTTTTACAATTTGACCTTGTGACGCACGACCTGAAGAGCACACGTGGGGTAACCAGGAACCTGTTTGGGTTGGGGGGTATAATCCAGTCACGATCAAGGCAAATATAAATGCAAATCTGATCATTTATGATTTCTATATACACTTAAAGATCAGTGTTTGAGTGGATTGGAAAGCTCAACAAGGGAGTATTTTTTTGGGGGGGGTTCCTGAGGGGGGTTAAGGCCACAGGCAAATTATCTCTTTAATATGGGATTTCTGAGAATTTAACCTTTTTAAAAAAAATTAATAATAATCAAGCAAAAGCTGCTAAACATTATCTTGTTTCAGATGTATGAAGTGACTAATTTTCCCTGTGTTATATTAATGTCAGTTTAATATCTGTGGGCTTTGGACTGTTAGTCAGAGACAAGAACAATATGAAGATGACCCTTTGGGGTCTGGTGATAGGCATTTTTTTTAACCATTAAATGACTATACATTTTTCGACATGTCCATCTATGCTAAACTCTGAAGATAAGAAATTCAGCTCCATCTTGTCCTTAACTTTTGCCCTAACCAAAATGCCATTAAAGTTATCTATTAAAGGATTAATTCACCCAATATATCATGGAATAACTAAGAAAATAACTGACTGTTTAGAAAAAAAATGCTGCCCTGACAGGACCACTTGGATATGTGGTCTGAAAAATACATATTATATACATATAGTACAAGGTGACTTGAACTCTGGAAAAAGTGGAGGTTCATTCAATCACTTGTTGCACGTCATATCACCAGTGACCACTAGGGGCACAGTTGCCCTTTTAAACACATAATCTGTCCTCCTGTAGAAGGATGAAAAGGATAATTATTTAGGTGTACTTTGCCTCCACTCACTGCATCTAAATTCTAATGTGTATAATATTCTTGTGACATGAACATGCAGCTTTATAATTAATCGGGCGCCTCTTGGGATTATTAATGAAAGATGTAGTGTCCGACCTGTTGACTAAAATCCCTGTCTTTTTTTTTGTCCGTAGAGATGTTTCGTTTACCAACAGTCATGAAGCAGGTGAGGCCTGTGTGCAGGGCGCTGGCTCCTCACCTTACGCGAGCCTATGCCAAGGATGTGAAGTTCGGAGCTGATGCTCGTGCCCTCATGCTGCAGGGGGTGGACCTGCTGGCTGATGCTGTGGCTGTCACCATGGGCCCAAAGGTATTTAGCGGTTTCGATATATGCATTGAATCCACTGGCTGGGTTGTAACTCATTTGGTGTTAACCCAAGATGTAATGTTGAACTTGCTGAGTCCGATGTCGCAGAGCTATGTATCTCACTGCTTTCTGTCTGCAGGGTCGTACTGTCATCATTGAGCAGAGCTGGGGAAGCCCTAAGGTCACCAAGGATGGTGTGACTGTGGCCAAGAGCATCGAGCTGAAGGACAAGTACAAGAACATCGGCGCCAAGTTGGTGCAGGATGTGGCCAACAACACAAACGAGGAGGCCGGGGACGGCACTACCACCGCCACAGTGTTGGCCCGTGCTATTGCCAAGGAGGGCTTCGACACCATCAGTAAAGGCGCCAACCCTGTGGAGATCCGCCGTGGAGTCATGATGGCTGTAGAAACCGTCATCAATGAGCTGAAAAGGCTCTCCAAACCGGTCACAACCCCTGAGGAGATCGCACAGGTAAACACGATTTTAGTAGTGAATTCATAGAAACGATGAAATGCTACGTAACATTTTTTTTTTTTTTATGAAATGCCTTTTATAATAATTTCCTTTTTAAAATATCATTAAGGTTGCTACAATCTCAGCCAATGGAGACGTGGAGATCGGTACCATCATATCCAATGCCATGAAGAAAGTTGGCCGCAAGGGAGTCATTACTGTCAAGGTTAGTTTCAGAATGAAACGTACAGGTATAAGACTTATACGTTGGGTTATGAGAAGTGACGTAATCAGTACATGTTTTACATCTCAGGATGGGAAGACTCTGCACGATGAGCTGGAGATCATTGAGGGTTTGAAGTTCGACCGCGGCTACATCTCCCCTTACTTCATCAACACTTCCAAAGGTAAGGCTGCTCACACAGGCTGAATAACTCCACCTGTTTGTTAAACCACACATCAAGCTGAGCTTGTCCTTCATATTTACCTGTAAAGAAATTCTACGATAAATCTGTTACCGCTGTTTCCAGGCCAGAAGTGTGAGTTCCAGGACGCCTACCTGCTGCTCAGTGAGAAGAAGATCTCCAGTGTCCAGAGCATCGTGCCAGCGTTGGAGATTGCCAACCAGCACCGCAAACCGCTGGTGATTATAGCTGAGGATGTGGATGGAGAGGCCCTCAGCACCTTGGTTCTCAACAGGTACATGTTTGTTTCCTGACCCCAATTTAACCAGTGTAGTAGTAGGCTTTATTTAAATGGCACTTATAAAAACAGAGTACAAATTAGATCAGAGTATAACAAATATGTTCCGCAGGACCTCAGGAAAGATGAATCAATAAAATGACTTAGACCCTGCCAGCCTAATTTCCTCAGGCAGGTCGTTCCAGAGCCTCGGGGCCCTGACAGCAAATGCTCGGTCACCTTTTGTTTTTAGTCTGGATACAGGAATAGACAAGAGGCCCCTGTCAGATCTTAGACCACAAGAATGCTCATAAGGAGTTAAAATATCTATAATGTAATCAGGAACCAGGCCATGAATAGCCTTACAAGGTTTACTAGATTGCAGATAATATTACATTAAAAACATTGTTGGAATAAGAACTAAAAAAAATTAGTGAATATTTAACATCTTAATTTGCAGGCTCAAGGTTGGGCTTCAGGTGGTAGCTGTTAAAGCCCCCGGCTTTGGAGACAACAGGAAGAATCAGCTGAGGGATATGGCAGTCGCCACCGGAGGCACTGTAAGTCTACTCATATTCATGTAACTGAGATTTTCTGTATAAAACTCTCAAGTTACATTTGGAGGCACATCTGAGGGTGTGACTGGTTTTTAAACATTTTTCTTTTCCTTTCTTCAGGTGTTTGGAGATGACGCTGTGGGCCTAGCGCTCGAGGACATCCAGGCTCACGACTTTGGAAAGGTTGGCGAGGTGCAGATTACCAAAGACGACACCTTGCTGCTGAAGGGAGGCGGCAGCCCGGCTGAAGTGGAGAAGCGGGCAGCAGAGATCGTGGAGCAGCTGGAGAACACCACCAGTGACTACGAGAAGGAGAAACTCAATGAGAGGCTGGCCAAGCTGTCTGATGGAGTGGCTGTACTCAAGGTACGACGTCTCGAACAGAAATGCAGACGGTACAGAGTGCTGATCACTTTAGTTTTGCTGTATAAAAACAAAGTTGTGATGCATGCTCTCTATTTCAGATCGGGGGAACAAGTGATGTGGAAGTGAATGAGAAAAAGGACCGTGTGACAGATGCTCTGAACGCCACACGGGCAGCTGTGGAAGAGGGTATCGTACCAGGTGGAGGCTGCGCTCTCCTGCGCTGCATCCCAGTGCTTGATACCATCGAAGCCATCAATGCTGACCAGAAGATCGGTTAGTACAGCACATGCATTTATACTAATATTTCTTTAAAGAGCAACTGAACAGCCCGGTTTTATATGCATCCTTGATTTAATCGGGTAATCTCATTGTGATAAAGATCTTTGGCAAGAGAGGCCCGATAACAGAAGACATACAGCATCCGAGACAAAGACATCACTAAACAAAGTTAAATGTTGGCCAGTAGGATGCCCCATTCAAGTTTCAGCTTTTGCAAGAGACAAAAGTATGGTGGGAAATCACTATCTCCTGTAATGAAGCACAAATAATAAATTTTTAAAAAATCCCATTTGATCCAGCTCATGTAGATGAGTCCTAAACATGTAAAATACTAGCTTTACAGGTGGTAGTAGCAGCAGTACTGTGTTTCTGCCACTGTGGCACGCTCCACTCTGTCCAATGCTGACAACTGACTGTAGTATGTCGGGGGGGGGGTGGCCTTCTAGGTCGGGGGCAAAGTATCCAGGGTACGTCACTGATTTATTGAGGGGAAATATTGAATTTCTTTTTTTTCTTTGAAAGATATGGATTTACTGTTAAGTTACGCTTTACCTTTACTCATTTTGTTTAATAACATATTAATACTAAATCCTTCTTCATGATAAACTAAACGATCACTGCCGTTCCAAACAGGCGTGGACATCATCAGGCGGGCGCTCCGTATTCCAGCCATGACCATCGCCAAGAACGCAGGTGTGGAGGGATCGCTGGTGGTGGAGAAGATCCTGCAGGGATCGGCTGAGCTCGGTTATGATGCCATGCGAGGAGAGTACGTCAACATGGTGGAGAAGGGCATCATCGACCCCACCAAGGTACAGTGCTGATCATTCATTGTGTCAGATGTTGCGTTTAAAGGCTTCTGGTCGGGGGAGGGGGGGGGGCTGGACCCAACTCCAGTAAACTTCATGTAGAAGAGACTCCATAAGAGGAAGATTTATAGAAGAGTCCACTGTATTCTAGTGAGCACTAAATGCCCCCATACAGATCAGTGTTTCTTCTTTTGTAGCCGGGTCAGAGATCTAAACCGGGTCAATACTGCCCCTTAGTGGTTAAGAGGGCATCATGTTCAGCCTGTAAAGCCCCTGTGGTGAAAAGTGTGATTTTTGGCTAAGTCATTAAAAAAAAAAACTTGATTATCCCATCTAATGTCTTCATTGAGGCCTACCTACATCATGATCTTTAAACAATTATATTAAATATATAATACTGTGATGTGATACTGAGGATTGAGTTTTGGGGGGGGGTATTGGAAAATAATTTAGGGCTGCAGCTAATGCCTAAATCATCTAGGTTTTTTTTTTAAAACCTCTAATAATGTGAATGAATCGTTTAGTCTATAAATCTTCAGAAAACAGTGAAATGTTCAAAATCACGTTTTCTTAGAGTCCAAGGTGTGAGGTCTTTAAATGCCTTGTTTTTTTTCTGAGGTCTAACAGTCTAAAGCCCAAAGATATTCCGTTTACAGCCCTATATAACTGAGAAAAGCAACATATTCTCACTTTTGAGCTTTAACCATCAATTTTTTGGGGGCAATTTGCTTAAAATAACAACACAAGATTAATAAATTATGAAATTCTAATGTTTTGGATCTAAACATAATCTGGAAATAATAGATTTATATCATTCTTCTACCTCACATTGAGTTAGCCATGCAATCAAGGCACATAGTTATTCTCTCTAGTCCTGAAACAATTAACTAATTATCATTAATCTGTCAATGGACAATTAATTTGTCATACATTTAAAAAAAAACATTATCTGGTTCCAGCTTCTCAGATGTGAGGATTTGCTGCTTTTGTTGTCCAATATCGTTCTGTAAACTGAATATCTTTTGGGTTTTGTTCAGCCTTTATATCAGACTGAACGACTAAATGGTTTCATGTAACAAGACCAGTCGACGAGGAAAATTACCATTAGTTGCATCCCTGATTGAATGCAAACTTAACTGAAGTGTTGCTCTGAACATGTGGTTTAATCAGTCTCTCAGTTGGAAATGCTGTAACCTCTTTACCTCTTCCCTCTGCAGGTGGTGAGGACGGCCCTGTTGGATGCCGCAGGAGTAGCATCTCTGCTGTCCACTGCTGAGGCCGTAGTCACAGAGATGCCCAAGGAGGAGAAGGAGATGCCAGGAGGCGGCATGGGCGGAATGGGAGGCATGGGCGGTATGGGCGGCGGCATGGGTTTCTAAGCCAGCCCTGCTGACTCGCTGTACAGACTAATAGGCAGAGTGGTGCTGAGGGTGGCTGAGGAACAAGACCCTGCACCCACCTCCACCACACTTTGCCCAGACTGACCGGCCATGAGTATGTTGGAGCTGCTCTCTGTGTCTGGATTTTTGGAGAAGCCAGCCTCGCCTGACTCTGTGCCCCTCTGCCCCATTTCACCCCAGTATGGGAGTCCATCAAGCCACCAGAATCCTCTGCTCCATTCTCATGGCTCTGTTCAATCAACAAACATCTGCACAAAACTCATGTGAAACACTCAACAGAAGAATTATACAGATTAACATACAGATTAACATACAGATTTGATCTCTGTAAGAGGTAGTAAAGTGGTCTAAGAAGAAAGTAACCTAGATAGACATACATGTTGATGATGCTCTGTATTACCGCAAAGAGAGCAGGGCCTCAGCGAGAGCCAGGATTGTGTCACTGTTCTTTTCTGTCATAGTATTTTGTTAATTGTTTTTTTTTATATATATGTCATGTTTTGTTCCCTAGCTAATATCACGTGGGCTAAAATCTGTCATTTGATTTAATTAAACCAATTTTCTTACAGAGCTTTGAGCATTTTCTGTGACTTTTGTATGTCTGGTGATGCCGCTTGCTCTCCTTGTACGTAACGACCATAATTGGATGAAGAGTGCCTAAATGACCAGAGGATCACCAGGGAGCCTGTTTTTAAAACCATGTAAAAGTTCAATAATGTTTACTGAGGAGTCTGGCGCTTTCACATCTAAGAGGAGTCATTTTCATGCCTGCAGCGTTATGTCTAACCTTCAGCCTTTAGGTCATCAGCTGAATATTGATTTCACAGTATATATGGCTGATTGTTATGGGAGAGGGGAGGAGTCTCGACAGGGGGTGTTACTCGAGTTACAAACCAGTTTTGGACCTTGTGCGGTTGAACGTAGACTTTAATTTGTGTGAGACAGCTCGCACGTCTCCCCTCATACACTGCTTTAACTGCAACAAAATTACATACAGTTGTATTCATAAAAATAAAAAACACACAGATGGTGTTTCTTCTCCACGGGATTATTTTGCAAAATGGCTGTAATCATTTCAAAACGTGTTTTGTATAATGTAGACGATGATTAATGGTGATTTTCTTTTTTTTAATTTAATAAATTCAATTGTTCAGATTTGTTGGGTATCCAGGTCCTCTGTTTTCAAAACAGTACTTTAGTATTGGCTTGGCTCGGGGGTGGTGATGGCCCAGTGGATAAGGCACATGCCTTTGGTGTGAGAGACCTGGGTTCAATCCTGCACTATGACCCATCTACCAATGTGTCTCTGAGCAGGACACTTAACCCCTATTTGCTCCAGAGCCATGCGACCTGACATATAAAGCAATTGTAAGTCGCTTTGGATAAAAGCGTCTGCTAAATGAATTAAATTATCACAGCTACGTCACTTATTTTCACTAACATGTTCATTAGCTCAGGTTCAAAGATCATTCTTAACCTCTGACACGGCAGTTGATGAAATTATCACCCGATGTAGTCCATTTGGTAGCGGTTCAGGAGCTTTCAATCATGCATGATCATCATTGTAGAGATTTGAGCACTTCTTGTTCATGTTACCTTGTGGCTCAAACTTCATATTGACAAACAGCAGTTGAAACCCCCCCCCTAGTTAGTCTTCAAAGTGCTCTGGAAAACCCCCCAGAAGTTTGAACTTCAACAATCCCATGACAACTTGGTAACTCCACGTGTCAATGAAGATCATGTGATATTATCAGTCAAGTTGAAGATCTCCAGTACAGTTGTTCAGTGGACTTTATGTTCCAGCTACACCTGCCCTGGTACATTCATGGTTTCTGGAAGTCTATTAAAAACCCATCTGTTTTGTGTTTAATATATAGAAACCCTAATAATAATAATGGGACTTATTTCCAATTAGTATCATGCATGTTACATTCATCTATCAACTCCTCAACAATGCAGGTCAAAAGGGCAAAGGGAATAATAACTCAAATTTGCCCTTTCACCAGCAGAGACATTTCTAACCCTTGTGACATGGTAGGTCTATTCTTACCACTCACATGATGACCCTATTCCTTTCCAGTCAGCTGGGGGCATGAACCGCTCTGTAGCAGTGTTGAGAAATACACCCCAAAAAACAAACATCAGTCAGGTTTCTTTTGTTTGTTGAAAAAATAAGTTTATAAATCATGCAGTTGGTACATACATTTCTGAAGTCATTCAACACAAACATCATTTACACTTTCCTCATCTCACAAAACACACAAACCCTTTAGTCATCGTCTTTAAAAGCAGTGTATTACAGGATCTTTAAAACCAGTATTTACACTTAAACTAAGTAATAAATATGATAAAATGAGTATAATAATAATTACAAAATAAAAGATAAATATTCTGCTAGTAGGCCAGGAGGCACTCTGTGAGCGGTGTAGGTGGACAGTTGGAATCGTGAAGGTTTTCAGGGCAGCAGATACCTCACTGAAACAGCATCCTGACTGACAGGACAGGTCACGGTGTGTGACCTGCCCCGTTTGGGCCCTTATATTGACAGTGGGTATTCATAGCTGTATTTAAAAACAGCTGATATTGCACACTTACAATTTAGCAAGTCTCGTCGCACAGCATTGCTCCCTTAATAAGGATGAGAGCTTAATTTATGTGACTTTAAGAAAAAGACAGCGTTCCCTACGGAGAAAGAAAACAAAATAAAAAGCTCTGCACCTTTAAAAACAGGTGAGCATTCCTGATAGCTTACAGTACATTTAGTACATCTATCTGCAGTCATTTGTACACATCCTCTGTGACTCACAACCTAAGCTGCCTCTGCCCTTTATTCTTACATATATTCTTATAATGTACAGTATGTGGTGAGACGGTGGAGGTCTCACCACAGCATACTTTCTAATATTAAAGGGCAGAGTTACTGTGTGTTAGTCACCTTGCATTGCGTTCCTTTTGCTTTGACTCGTGGAGTTTCATAGCACGAGTTCACATATCACAGAAAGGCATCACGGTGTTAACTAATACTATCTGGACCCTGGTCTTAGTCGGTATTGCCGCTTATATCATCACATCATCTGTAGCTAACAAAAATAATTACCTCTGCCTCCCTTTGGGACGAGCATGATCAGTAAACTTGATTCCCAATGTGCTTCCAAGAACCACAACGGTTCAGAAATGTGTCATTATAAACAAGCTATTCTCATTAGCATGCTGCACTGCTATAACCAGGGTTTGAATGACCCAGGGTTAGAAATAAAATGGCTGTGGTCTCTCTTGACATAACTGTGGGCGATGTGGTCTCACAGTTCTGTTCAGCTATGGATCCATTTCCCAACTCTCCTACAGCTGCAACTATTTTAATAATCGCTTTCAGTCATTTTTCAAGCAAAATGGCCAAACATTCTCTGGTTCAAGCTTGTCAAATGTGCCGTTTTCCTTTGTCAGACAGTAAATTAAATATCTCCAGGTTTTAGACTAGTTAATCAGATTAAAATGAGAGTGTTTCAACTCATAACTCTTCCCGACACTCAGCACATCTTTCACATTGCTGAGAAAGGAGCGTATTGATGTAAACACACCCGACTCCAAATCAAGTACAAGTATTGTTTATCACTTCAAGCGCTCCCTGAATACAGTGTAATCCTTTCCCACTGAGCTACCGACTTGCATCCGATGCAGGTCAGAGGAAGCACGTCGCCCTGCGCCTGGTGGTAAAGGTAAAGGATCCTTGAGATTGCGGTTGGACCTGTACACCTGGAACAAGCAAATTACCTGGCTGACACACAAAGTCTCTGCACAGCTCATTGTCCCCACTGACCAGATAGCTTCACTGCTGAAATCACAATTGTTTTCCTAACAATAAATCTGCACAGATTTAAAATACTCCCTTCTCGCCGACAACTTCAAATAGTCTCATTTGCATTGGGGTTTTTTTGTATCCCAACATAGGTGATACACAATCATCTACTATACATCCTAAATCTGAGTCTCTGAAAAGAAAACTAGAGTATAAGCTTAAAGACTACTTTAACAAAGCAGGAATCAAAAATATTCTGTATTTGAAGTGTCCCAGAGTCCAGCGTGACCCTGTTTAAACACAGACAGTGGCATTATAAACACATCACCATGAAAAAGAAAATGGCTGAAATACCAGAGAACAGAATAGGAAGGAAACACCTCTGCATTCAGGACGTGGCATCACTGTCCTATTGCAAAAGAGCGTGTCACAATATTTGTCTGGCCACCTGTCCAGGGTTAGCCTCTCGCCCAATGTCAGCTGGGCTCAGCCCCCCCGCGACCCTTTGAAAGGATAAGCAGGTATAGCTGATGGATAGTGCATCACAATATATTGTGATACCGATTTTTTTTCCTGTTCCACTGGTCCTCGATGGAAAGAGGAAGACATTATTATTAGCACGGCATCTTCCTCCAGCAACTTTTTCAATTAACAGGTTGCTACCAGTAGCAGCAAAAATACTGGTTAGAGCAGTGTAGATAACTACTGAGTGGTGCTAATGTTTACAGATGTGATGACATACTCGCCTGAGCAATCCTGACTGCTAGGTCATGTTTTCACCTCCATGGAAACACACTGGTAACCTGTGAACTCAGTTTCATAACCAGGCACAGATTGTTCAGTTCTGATAATGGAGATGACGTGTGTAAAACTGAAATGAAAACAAGTCCACATGTGTTCAGCACCAAGGTGAAAATGAGGTGGTGGATCCGCATCAGTTATAAAAGATGAGTTAGGAAATAGCTGGGAATAAAACTTGGTCACTGCTGTGAGAAAGGCACTGCAGTTTTCAGTTAGAACACAGGAAGTCTCCACTTTGTCTCTACACTCCGCTCTCATTTTTCTCTCTGGCATTGGCATCGGGCATTGTGTTTGTCTGTGTATCTGTGTTTGTGCAGCGGGGGGGGGGGGGGGGGGGGTGCGCGCTACGTGTGGTGAATCTCGTGGAACATGAGCTCCCGAGGGATCGCCGTCTCTTCGCCGTACATCTTGGAGGCGCGCCGCTCAAATGCAGAAACCATCTGCTTCACCACCTCGTCGAAGAAGACGTTCGCTAGCTGGGAGTGGAGGAGGGAGCGAAACTCGAAGGAGATCTGAGGAAAGGAGGGAGGGAGAGGATAAAGTTAGCAGCTGAATGTCAAAATGTATTTATATACGTTGAGTGTGTGTTGGATCCAGTTACAAATACAACACTTGCAACTGCAGACATAACAACTGAGACACATGGAAGAAGAGGACATACAGAGAATAGCTTAAACCACCACCTCTTTTATTAAACTGCGTGTACTTACAGAGAAATCTACGGTGCAGGTGCGAGGATAACCCGGGAGGCCAGGGCTGAAACGCCAAACCGTCTCCAAGTGGTTGAATAGTTTTGCCTCCGAACAGGATGCCTGACCAGCAACATACACACATTAATTGTAAATGGTTTGCTGCAAAGAACGAGAAAATGAGAGACTAACTTTCTGATAGTTGTTGCGTGTATAGAGTAACTTTTAGAACCGCGTAAAACCCCATTACAAATTCATGCAGTGCAACTCAGTGGAGAGCACAGCGTTTCCAAATATACATATTTCAAATTTATGCAGCCGTAAAAAAAGTCTGGTCTGAATATTTTACACTTGTGTAAACATCACATAGTTTCAATGAAGAGCTGGTACAAGCTGCTGCAGGGTATATGCGATAGCGTGTGCAGGGCTCGACAATAACGGTGGCCGATGGTAACAGATGGCCCGGGGCCAGTAAAAAGCAACGTCGGGACAGTTGAACTAGCAACTCACTAGCCCCATCAGGCCAGTGCAAAACATTAGTATTTAAAAAAAATAAATGGTAAAATGTTGCTACTTCTGAGCTGAATTATTACCTCAGTCAACACGTTCCTAATGAGTTTATGGTCTCAGTCATTAGTTTCAAGTATTCTTCAACACAGCATGATGTTCATTGAGTAAATGATGGTCCTATATAAGTGGGAAAAAACATTGAGCCATTGTGTGTGAATACAGTGTGGAATAAGAGGATTTTTACTACTTATGGGGCAATAAAAAAGGGGAAACCGGGTGGTAAGAGACTAAACAAAATCTTTTATCAGCTTTAACTACAAAGTAAAGCAGCTTTGTTCCTCTCTGCTGACAATGACCCTGTGTATTCATTATATTTGTACAAACACTATAAATATATATCTAGTCTATCCTGTGTGTTGGAAATAGGCCTCTTTCAAAGCCGACAGTTTGACTTAAGCTAAATGGAATTCAGCCATCGTTAATTTTATTATTTACACCTGTGCTTGTCCTACTGTGACATGTCTAAATGTATGTGTGAAAAAGACCTACTGAAGTGACCTATCTTAATCTGAGAGCTAACAGAAAACAACCCCCTAACACACATTTTTACATATTTTAACTGCCAAGATTTTTTTATTCTTTAGTTTCTTGGAGATGTGAAGTACTCAAATAATAAAAAGTAAGCTGCTTCTAACATCCTACATTTCATGCTAATGATTTACTTAAAAACTGGCTGTGGTCTGAAATTAGTGCAAATCCCATTGTGGGACATGCAAGACCTGTTGTACGAGTAATATCGGATAGTCCGTCTCTCTCCACAGGGGGAAAATACACTTAACTTAAGCTTCAGGAACAGCAGGTCGTTGGATCATCTTCTGTTGCGCAATACACTTACTTTAAGCTATAATTTTATCCTGTCTAATATCTCCACAACTGTCACAAGGAATGCCTTTCACATAAGTCATGGACTTCTTTGTTTTTATAAGATGATTGTCTAACTTAGTCGAAGGCAGCTGTACTATTTTCCAAACTGCTATGGGTCCTGTACTACCACTAGTGACTCTGCTAAATGTGTAATCTTTTTGTCAGCTGATTTTCGACAGCAGTACTTGAAGATCTGCAGTGGAAAAGTCTGTTTTACTCTGATTAATATTTTTGTAAATGACACTTGCCCACAAACTGAGCAGAACCGGCTGCCTTCTATCGTAATTTCAGTAGCATACATTACGCTAATGATGAAATCCCACTAACACGCACCTTGTCATGAACCTGTGGTGCACATCAGGCAGAAATTAGTGATTTACTACAAGTTTCTAAGCTTGGTAAATCAGATTTGAAACACTCGTACGAGCTAACCTCACAGAAAAAGGTAAAGAGGGCTTTAGGATAAATATTCTTGCAAGAGACCCTTTCCTTTTAGCAGCAAAAATGTGCCGGGAGGCAGTGCCTTACCTTGACCAGGTGGGGGCGTACTGTAGTTATAAGAGAGGTGTAGTTCTCCACCACAGGTGGGAAGCCCACGGTAAGTTTGGCCTTGCAGAATCCGGCTCGCTTGAACACCACATCAGATTTCTTACACCAGGGAACAAAGAGCCGGTAGTTTTCCACTCCGGCCACAACCTCATATATCTCCTGCATCGAATACCTAAGGAGTTTAAAGATGGAGAGGAAGCAGCCAATAAGCTCCCGGCAAGCAAATACGTCCGTGCAGAGCTGCATGTCGTGAAGTAGCTGAAGGTCAGCAAATGTGACAACACTAAACAAAGCTGCCACAGAAGACCCACTAAAGTCAGAACTACATAGTTCAATGAGGGACATTTTTTATAACTGATTCTGTATTTATGTATATTGCCTGCTATGCAGCAGAAGGGAGTTACTAAACTCTATAACTTGTTATTTTGTGAGAATAAAAATACCTACCTATAGAATGACATAAGGAGGCAATAAGAGTGCAAGAGATGAGAAAACAAGAGCAATAAAATAAACAAAATAAAGGCAACATTTAGTGAGTGAGACACAGGTGGAGACTGTTTCCCACCCCACAGTTATGTAACTGCATCACTCCAGCTGAGAGAACATAGCTGCCGCTGCCTGTGTCTATTTATACAAGCAGATTTAGTGAGTATGACCTTTCTATGGAACACAGGAGGACATTTAGTGCGTCATACTGAAACGCATATATAGAGCCTCAGATGGGGCACCAGCATTCAGAACAATTGTTTGGACGTGAACATATGATTTGTCGTTCTGTCACTGGGAACAAAATTTCTTTATTTGTCCCTGAGGGGCGATTAGATTGCCCCAGAAGCAATAAACAATTAGACAAACACGACAACGACAATTAAAAATACAGGGTCAGACATATGACAGCAAAAACTAAAGTTCAAGTGTGCATTATGTGCAGACCTATTCTTTGCATTCTTTGAGTTTACCAGAGAAATAGCAGAGGGTATGAAGGAGAATTTATATCTGTTTGTTTTGACTTGTAGTTGACTAAAGTGGGAACCAGAAGGCAGCATCTTGTATTTTATATTATCATATTTGAACTGTTTGCTGCTTTCTTTCGTTTGCTTCTTGCTTTATAACTTAACACAGACATTTTAAGCTCAAATTAAAGCTCAAATCAAATGTGCTGAAGATGTTTCATGACATAACAAAAAAAAGCACTGTAAGTGAGACCAGACTTGAGAGACTAACCCAATGATGCGTCTCTCTGAGTACTCCTTCCTCTTGGAGAGGGAATCTGCAAGGTTGAAGAAGCTGCGAGCAGGCAACGCAATGCCACGCCCTGACGTGGCTGCGCTCAGCAGGGGAGGTACACGAGTCATCAGGATCCCACATGATGACAGGTATCTGAT